TCGTTGAGTCTAAGACTCAGCAGACCGATAGATTTCTAGAAAGTATAAAGATAAAGGGATATGCTGATGATACAGGGAAGTGGTGTTGCAGTAGAAGTTCACCTGTGGTCCAATTGGAAGGTATTGTGGGCTTAAAGGACTGAATGAACAAGTGTTTCTTATGCCCTTATGCCTGTCAAAAACAGCAATGACCCTAGTATTGACCCTTGTGGAATTTACTCTATGGTCTGTGGCAGTCCATAGAACAGCCATTCGTTATAATTCCAAAGTTCTGAAGAAGCAGCATGTTGAACCCAATGATAACTTTTGCTCTGCACAGCTGCTGCCAGACCTGCTGAGTTTCTCCAGCATTTCAGACTCCAACATTCTCAGCACCTGGCTTTCATTAACCACAAATATCAGCTACATATCCCTTACCTATTATTGTGCCAACATTCCTACTGCTTACTTTACGTTCAGTATTGATAACAAAAGTTAAAATGTGAGACCTATGCTTTTCAACATCTTTGGGAATTTTATGTGTTAACTATGTTACCCTTGTATCTTCTCCTGCTGCCCACCACCACCACCACCAAGTTTTTGAAGGATTTAGTAAAAGGATTCCTACTCCTTTCCAAATAATGGAATGACTGTTGAAAGACGAAAGGTTGAAAATTAACGATTGACCGTTGACTTGAAGGAGGGCTCAGTGATGATTCCATATTCCTATTGTAGGTGTTGCTTTCTGGGTCACAATCACCTTCATGAAGCAACTGTTTAAAGCCTCAGTAATCCACAGTTGTTTAATACTCATTATTTTCCTTTGAGTAAATGACTTAAAGCTTCATCAAGTTGATTACTGTATGCACGTTAAAAGGGATTTTTTTTTTTCCTTTGAACTCTCCCCCCTCATCTGTCCTTCCCTCCATTCCTGTTTGCAATAGTCTCATCCATAGTTTTTTCCTAAAAACTATGCCTTGACTTTCTGCTTTACTCATTCTTCCTTTTTTTTCAGTCTGCTGAAAATAATATTTTGTGATAGCTTTCTTAATGCAAGCAATGCTATAGAAATGCTTGTTACTGTTTGTAATTAGATAGTGATACAGGATCTGAATTTGGACAGTTTTCATGATAAGTTATTCAGCTTTTATTCCACTTAAATGTATATGCTATTTTTTGCCTTCTAAAATGATAATAGAATCATGTTATATTGATGTCAAACAGAAGTTTCACCAGTGCAGTTTATTTCTGCACAACAAATTTAGTAATTTCAAAACACAAGAATTGGTAATTATTTAATGTGTGAATTTCCATACGGACAAGTCTGACCATCAGAGTGCAATTGAAAAATGGTTTGATTCCAATGATTCTTGTTTAACTCGCTTAAATTCTGTTCTGTTCATAACTATTTCTCTCTGATAATTACCTGTAGAATCTGTTTTACTTGGAATAAATAGTAATTCTTGTTAAGTACAGGAACCTTGTCTGTGCTTTCTGTTGACCTGGGTCTAAAAGTTGGGAAATTTTACAGTTTTTTTTTTATTAATGTCCAACATTTTTGAGTACTGGGGATAGAAGGGCTTGATTTCTCGTGTGCTATCCCATATAGGTGTAACAAAAGACTTTTTTGGATCTCCTCTGCACTTTGCACTTTGTTCTTGTAGCCCAGCTTGTGTTTGACATGCGTGCACTCTCTTGCCCCTCTTCCCTGCTCCTCCTAGCCCGTCTTCCCAGCCCCCCTCCTCCTGGTCCCTCTTTTTTTTTTCCCCCTCCTTCTCTTCACACTCTTGCTCCTCTTCTTTCTCTTCCTCTTTCCTCCGCACCTTCCTCGTTCTCCCCCCTCCGGCTAACTGTCTTCCTCTGCTTCCTCTCTATACTCTCCCCTCTACTTCCCCTGATGCTCCATCCCATGCTCTCTTTCGCTTCCCCCCACCTTGCTTTCCCGCATCATTTTCTGCCTCCTCCCATTCTAATGTACAGTTGATTTGGTAATGTTTCTGCTGCTGATTTCAATATTGTGGTGTTGCCCGTCGGCCTCTAAAGTGGATGTGTGTATGTAATTTTTAAAATTTTATATTCATTTGAACAGCTGCATTCAGAGAAATGTTGCGTCTCAAAACCCAGGTCGTTGTATAAGAGGTCTTTTTAAGTTGTTCAGCACTGGGTTTGAGTGCCTGTGCAAGTGTTTCAAGGGTGTGATACTCCTAATTCAGAAGAGCATTTGTGCAGTATTGATTTTTTTTGCCTTGTGTTGATTTTTTTTTAGTTGAAGGGTATACTAAATATTTCCTGGAAGAGATTTGTTTCATTCTAATAATTTGAGGAATTTTTATCAACTTGACATTCATGAATGCGTTACATACAACTAGTAAAGCTCAGTTGCAACTTTTAAAAAATGCGCTGTACCCTGTTCTTCCACAGCTTTTCACCTTGCGTATGGTGCTGTAACTTGTTTCTGTAACAAAGTTAGTTTTTCAATAGGGATTCGTGCTCGACCAAACTCTCCACTTTGCATTTGAAGAGCTAGTTATTTGCACTTTGCTCCTACTGGGGGTCAGTGGCTTGCTAGAAAATGTCAAGTCTCCTTTTAGAAAGCGGAGCTGAAATTTTTAGCCAGCTGGTGGTGGGTTAACAGGAAGAGTGGGTGTGTGTTTATCTTCTAGTTAAGCACCTATGCCCATTGGACCTCCCCCCTCCTAGGTATTTAATCTTGCAGATTGGACCCCTGTAATCCTGCACACTGGACGATATTTAAAAATTAGCAACAGTGCCCTCTTGAATGCCTTAATTGAACCAGTTTCTACCATTTTTTTTAAAGGAAGTGCATTCCAGGCTCACTGTGGAAAAGTTCATTCCTCCCTCTCTGTGTTCTATTTACAAAAGGGAAGTTTCTGCCTATTTACTTTGTCCAGGCTCCTCACGATTTTGAAAACTTCTATTAAATTTCCTCTTAGCCTTTTTGCCAAGGAAAACAGTCCCCGTTCTGCAGTATATCTGAAGTGTATCATTCCTGGAACTATTCTTGGAAACCTCTTCTGCACTTTGTCTGATGCATTCACATCCTTCTATTGTATGGAACCCAGACCTGCGTATAATGCTTAAGACATGGTCTAAACAACATCCTATTTGAGCTTATCATTAGTTTCCTGCTCCTGCACTCACTGCTCCTATTAATGAAGCCCAGAATACTAAATCCTATCTTAACAGTTTATCTCTGTCTGTCCTGCCACCTTTTTAAAGGCCTGTGTACATATACACCAAGGTTTCTATGCTTGTGCACACCCTTAAAGTCACACCCTTTATTTTATACTATCACTTCATGTTCTTTGTATCAAAGTGCATCCCTCACTTTTCTACATAGAACTTCATCTGCCACTTGTCAACCCACTCCACCCATGTAAATGTCCCTTTTGAAGATTTACATGATAACCACCTCTGCTTACAGTTCTCCCAAGTTTTTTTTTGTCATCTGCTAACTTGAAAATTGTCTAAAATTGCAGGACATGGACAATAAGTTAAAAGGCTCAAAGAGCCAGTGCAGATATGATGGGCCAGTGGCCTCCTTCTGCGCCGTAACAACTGTGACTCGAACTGTGTTAATTCAGTGGTATTTGTCCTGTCTCCAAGTAAATTGGTTATTGATTTAAGTCCAAATCCAGACAGTCTAAGCAGAAAAAAGGAAATTAAACTTAACCGTGGGATCCTTCGGCATAAATGTCAATGGTGATCCTAGCTAAGCCTGTGTCTCTGTACATCCAGATCACAATCACTTACATTATCAGGAGAAATGAAGTTCCCAATACTGAACTCTAGGAGCTCCATAACAAACTTTTCAGCCCAAGCAATACCTATTAACTTTTGTTTCCTATCGCTCAGCCAGTTTAGTATCCATGGTGCTCCTGTCCCTTGTATTCCATGATGTTTAACTTTCCTTTCAAGTCTGTTATGTGGCACTGTATCAAATGCCTTTTGGAAGTTTGTATATCCACAGCCTTGGACTCATCAACCCTCTGTTACCCCATCAAAAAAAAAACTACAGGAAGTTAAATGGACGTGATTCTGTCTTAGCAAATCCATGCTGAATTCTTCTGAATCAATCCACATATTTCCCGTGACTCTTATTTCTATCCTGAATAATTATTTCCAGAAATGTTCCCTACCACCTAAGTTAAACTGACAGTCTAAACGGTTGCAGCCAATCTCTATGACCTCTTTTGACCAAGGACATAAGGTTTGCAATTCTTCATCTCTCAGGCACCAGTCATGGTAAACACTTTCCTTTTAATATTGCTGTTTAACTGAAATAATGAAAAGAAATGCTTGGTTCACTGTCAGGCAATACGATTCCTATAATTTGCAAGGAGAACTTATCAGTAATGAGATTTCCGAAATGAGCACACAAATACTAGTTGAAACTAGAGGTCAAAAGCTTTAGTTATATTTTAAGTGGGATTGTATAATACACTTTTTAAAAAGAATAGAATTTCAAAATCAATATGTGATACTTGATGGATGATAACTAAGACTGTTGATTTGTTCTGGAGTATTCATATCAAATATGCAGCAGACAGAATGGTACTTCCTAATGTATCTAGTGACACTCCTGAAATTTTCAAACCTGTAATGTTTTGATTTTAACAGTCACTATTTTTACTGTTCTGGGTGGGGGGGGAGTTCAATCTTAATAGAAAAACATACTTGGTAATAGGTAAGAGATGCAAGGGGATTGTGAGGAAGAACTTTTTAACGCACTGAGTGTTAAAGATTTGCAGCTCATGCCAACTAGGGTGGTGTAAGCAAGCCTTTCAAAAGGAAATTGGATGGATACTTGAAGGGAATAAACATGCAGGGCTATGTGAATAGAACAGGGGAAGGAGATTAGCTGTGCTGCTGCATAGAACAAATGTAGACAACGGGTCCAGATAGCCCCCTGCAGATGACTTCATGGCTGTATCCAAAGCTTCGAATTTCACACCACTAAAACATGATCTTAATTTGTGCTTTAAATTTATCTTGAACAGAAAATACTTCAACTTCTTCCAGAGAAAATCAACAACAGATGGCAATTTCACAGCATAGGTAAGAAAAAATGGTATATTTTGGCATATTTTCAAATTGTGGAGCAATTTGTAAACGCTGCATGATTATGATAAAGTCATCATTACTTGAATTAAGTTTTCTCCCAGTAATATATTTAATATTTATCTTTTAAGGGAGCAACTTAAATTTTTCTAAATGGAAATGCCTTTATGTTTGTGTATGCATTTGAAATGTCTGTAGTTGATTTCTGTTAGTTTTTTTTTTAATTCCCTATGTAGAATACTAACATTCATTTGGTAAAATTTGCATAAAGCATTGGTGCAGTTAATTTATTTTAGTCCCTCTGTGTTTGGCCCTAACCTTTAGCTTTTCATAATCCTATTATTTTTGGTTTCCTTCTTGGTTACATCCTTCCTTTAATTTCATAACCTCTATAATGCATACCAAAGTTGTTTTGTTTCCCATTTCCTTTTTAAGTCCTATCACATGTCACATGCCTTTGTGACATTAAAAACGTTACAATGTCTTGTAAAATGCAGTTTTAGGAGTTTGCAGAGGAATTTAAAATATAATTTATTTTCAAGAGGCAAGCATTTACTGTGACCACCGTGACGCTTATTTTCTCTTGCATTTGGTATTGTCTTTGTTGGCTTCAGTCTCTCTCCTGGTTTTTTTTTTCCAGCTTTCTCATTAATTGTTGAGTTAGTCAGATGAATGGTGGATTAAAAATAGATGTGATAAAATGAATAATACTTGGAAGTAAGGGGTAGGGCAAAGGAAGGGGTTTGGGAGAAGAAAGTGTCAAGCAGAGGAGGGGCTGTGGAAGGGCAATGGGCAGAAGCAAGTATAAAGAATTCGTGGATTTTTGGGCCGTTTAGCTTCAAGATAACCAAAAAGTCTTTAAGTGTAAAAATTACAGTTCAAGAATGTAACCCACCATTAGGTAGTAGACTGGAAGTAACTAGTGACAGCTAACAATTGGATTTTTGGGCCATGTGGATTCAAGACAACCAATTGGTCTTTAACGTAAAAAAATTGCAGTCAGCAACATAACACACCCTTAGTACAAAGTATCTTATGAGAAATTGGTTTTTATTTTGGCACATTTTTATTTAGCTTGTCCTTTTTTTGAGCGCAAGTGATAAACAAGGGATAGCAAGGTGATTAATTGAGAGGGAATGTAACTAATTAACAAAGCCTTCATAATTATTTGCTGCTGGTTTATTTTAAATGAACTGCTACAATCAAAATCAGTTTAAAAGCAAAATTGCAACGTATGAGAAAAAGTAGAGAAGGTAAATTCAACGTGTTCCCAAACTTGGTTAGATCACACTTGGCATTCTATGTACATCAAATGTATTTATAATTGTTATGTTTTATTTATTTGAAGAAATAAATTGCAATGAATCTATGACTTTTATTTTGTTTTAAAATCTTGGCCTGAATTATCTTGTAAAAAATTTAACTAAAGACTTGGTCGAGTGGGTGGCTATTCAAGAGGATTGTGAAAGGATAAGAGGAGGGCAGTTTAGGGAGGGAATTGTGGAGATGTGGTAAGAGACAGCTGATGACTCAGCTGCCCATAGTGAGATGCAAAGAATGGAGGTGTACGAGAGATCAGATTTGCAAGAACATAGACTACTTGAATTTTTTAATGAATTGTGTTAACTTAAATGAAATGATATCGTGTTGGTGTCACAATATCGTGAAGCAATTTATATGCATTTACAATGTGAGATTAACCCAAGACATGAAAGTATTGGGAATTAGGATTTAAAATCTCTCCAAGGAACTAGTACATTGCAACACCAGAAAAGACAACTACAGTTGTAAAATGGCTGAAATTTGTAGAACAGTAATCTCTTAAGGTTATCAGAGGACAAATCTGATATAAAACCTTGTTGTTAAAACATTTTTGCAGCTCAAAAAATATTTCCTTCCAATGTGTTACTATGTGATTTGGGAAAAGGGGTATATCAATGGTGAATTCGTTCCACAGTTTTTGAGGTTGAGGTCAAGCACTCAAGTTCCAGAAGGGACATGACTTTTCTGTGGAGACCTGAGGAGGTGTTAAGTTGTTGCCAGTGCTACCTTGGTTAAGGCATTGAACTGTTCACTTGAATATAAAAGATCTTGTGGCACGAGTTAGAGAAGAATGGATGGATATTGGCAACATTTTTGTTATAATGAAAATCAGAAAAACGCAAACTTCCTTAATTGACTATTTGTGAGGCATTGTTACAGACAAATAGGCTCCTGTGCTTGTTTACTTAACAATTATGACTGCATTTCAGAAGGTTGTGCAGTGCCTGGATGTTTTCTCATCACCCTTTTAAACCGACTGTATTTTTCTAATCAACCTGTTCAGAGATGTTAATACACACCTCTGGAACAAGTGGGAATCGAACCTGATTCTCCTGGTCCACGAGTAGGGATGCTACCACTGCGCCACAAGGGCCTCATCACCCTGTGTCCTAGATGTTATTCCAACTTCTGGAGCAGTAGGAACTCAAAACTGGGACTCCTGGCTCAGAGATAGGGACACTTAGCACTGTGCCACATGGGCCCCTGTGCTTGAGGTCAAGAGGTGTCGACATAGAACAATGTAACTGTTGATTGAAATCAAAGCAATGCAGTATGGATACTGGAAATCTGAAATATAAACAAAAAGTGCAGGAGAAACTTCACAATTCTGCAGTATCTGCGGAGAGTGGAACAAAGTTGATTGAAAGTTGGCTAGAAACAGCTGGTACTGAAAGAATTTCTTCAGCAGAAATGAGAAATATGTACTCCAGGGACTTTTTGAGTTCAGTTTTTTCCTCTACATGCATAGATGATTTGAACATGGATATTGGAGATAAGGTGCAAAAACAAAATGCAGATGATGATAGTTGGAACAGTATATGTAATACGAGAGAAGATATATAAAGATACAAATAGGCATTACAGAGTTAGAGAATAAATGGCAAATAAAATTTGATTTGGTGAATTGTGAGATTGTCCATTTTGATAGAATAAAAAAGACAGTTTGTTTGTTAGATGGGTACTCAGCAAGGAGGTTTGAGAATACTAGTGCATTAAATGCCAAAAGTAGCAATACCTGATGATAAGGCCTTAGAGATTACCAGCAGAGTACTGGAGTTCATTTCTAGACAAATAAAATACAACGCGGGCAGTTAATAATTAATTCAAATGGATCTTTGGCAATTATACCGTGGGTTAATGCCAACTGCGTTGAGTCACCTGTTCATGTGCATTACATTCTGTATAACTTGGTTACATCACAAGGTACTCGATCAGCTGATTTTTAAATATAAACTGTTTGTTTCTTTTTGTGGAGAAATGAATTAAAGGTAACTTGTTTCATGCTGTTTATTCCTTTTGTATTTAATCAAGGTTTCAGCCAGACTTGACACCAGGCATTTTGTATTTTTCTGCCATGATAATTCTGTTGTTTGTTAAACCAAACAGTTGATCTTTAGTCAGTAATGCTGATCGTTTTCTGTCAATTCCATCAGGAGAATAGAATACGTTGTCAAAATGCCACTGGTTCATAACTTGTTTATATTAAAAACTATTCACAACATCAAGTGGATATAGGATGCTTGTCTGTTACTTTTAATTGAAGATAGTCAGTGATGCTCGATCTAGGCTTGATCCAGCCTGGAGCACTCAGGTTGTCAACACTCAGCACATCTGCCAGGCAGTACCCCAGCTGGTGTCAATGCAAATGAGTGAAATGGTCTCATGGTTGAGCTTTTCCTTGATTTTAGCGTGCTTAGTCATCAAATTGGCACTGGAGACATAATTTTGTAAACAGTAAATGAGCTAAATGATTAGTTAATGTATTTTAGTCACGCTGGTTGAGAAATTGACATTGTCTGGGACCCATAGACATTCCTGCTGTTCTTTGAAGGTGCTGCGTTCACCTGATTAGGCACACAATATTTCAGTTTAATTTCTCATTGCAAATGATTGCACCTTCTACAATACAACTGTACGTCACTGGATTAAGTGCCAGCAGACACTACTCAGTTTCTGGAATGGGGTCTTGAATTTACAATTTTCTGACTTTTCTAGGTTTATTACAATTGCAACAGATACAGTGGTTAGCACAGCTGCTTCACAACTCCAGGAACCTGGGGTCGATTCCATCTTCAGGTGACTGTCTGTCTGTGTGAGTTTCCACTGGGTGCTCCGGTTTCCTCCCACAGTCCAAAAGATGTGCAGGCTTGGCGGATTGGCCATGCTAAATTACCCATAATGTCCAGGGATGTGCAGGCTAAGTGGGTTGGCCATGAGAAATGCAAAGATAGGGAAGGAGGTTGGATTTGGGTGGAATGCTCTTTAGAGGGTTGGTGTAGACTTGATGGGCCGAATGGCCTGCTTCCACACTGTAGGAATTCTGAGTCTTTAATAGTTGCTCATTTTCATCCTGGTTCCTCTACCTTCTAAATACTTTTTTTAATTAAGAAAATCTTTTTAAGTTTCAAAAAAAAAAAAATTGGATAATTACATTTGGGGAGCAGTTTCCCCTTAACAATTTTCGATTCCTACTTTTGAAAAATTCATTCATAGGATGTTGGTGTTGCTAGCTAGACCAAATCTGGCATCACACTGAAGAAGGGTATACAGGTCATTCTGCTATAATACGTGTTTCGTTAACTCAATTTGGCTTTAACGTCATTGATGTATAGTGGATGCTGTTTGGATGATACCTAACTTTCTCCTGTACAGGTGTAGCGATTTTCCAACATGATTTCCCTATAACGTGATGCTCTATAGCATGAGGTCACAAGAATGCAAGTAATTGTGTTATCGGAGAACTACCTGTATTGGCCTTGGAGAGAGTACTCCAAGTTTACAGGTCACGTTATGAGGAAAGATTATATAAATTAGGCCTGTTTTCGCCAGAACTTAGAAGGTTAAGGGATGATCTGATTTAAACCTTCAAGATATTAACAGGAAAAGGATGGGTAGGTGATAAACTTTTTTCACTGGTTGGGGTTTCTAGAATTAGGGGACATAGTCTAAAGATTAACAGAACTACTAACAAACCAAACAATTCGCCCTCAATTAACTCTTCCCAAATAAAACGAAATTCTAATGATATGCTGTTCCAGTAAATGTAAGATCCAGTTATATCAACCAAATTAATTTAAAAAAACCTCAAGTCTCTCGAAATTATGGCCAGGATACGTTTTCTGGATGCTGTGTGCCTTCTCCACTGTTCTTCAGTCAAGAACGCCTTTCTCTGTCAAATTCATGTGATAGGAATATTAGCTAAGAGTGTCACTGTACATTTAGTCAGGTGGCTTTCTGAGAACTTGGGGAATTCTGTGAGACCCAGTGATTTTCTCTTTAGGGCTGCTGGTTGTTAACTCGAATTGATGGCAGTTGCTCTCTCACCAGTTTTCAAATACCCTCTTCTTTTATACCCTTGATGCCCTATCAGTTTCTTACAATAGGATTGGCCCTAGGTTGTCAAAACCATCAGTTTTAAATTTAATTGGCTTGTAATCTCTAAGTGCCTGTGAAATTAGTTGGCTGATTCAAACTGGTTGCCTTAATAACAAAAGAAGATTAATGCCTGGGTTGCTTACCATGCAGTCTTTTGATACAAATGTTTTAACTTCAGGAATTCTCCGTACCTGCTGCTGCTCGCAGACATTTTTAAAGCATCTTCAAGCCTAGAAAAAGCACATCTTTTAAAGGGACCATTCCCGCCCCCCCTTATCATTTTACAAACAAATGCTAATGTCCTGCCTTCCAATCCCCAAGTACTGTACCCAACTTCGCAACAGGTAGGGGCTTGGACCTCTCTTCCATGAATAGTAGTTGATGCTAGATCATTTGTTAGTTTTCAACCTGAGACAAATTATTACTATGTGAAAGTATCAAGGGATATGGGCCAAAGGCAAGTGTATGGAGTTAGACCATAGATTTGCCGTGATTTCATCAAATGGCGGAACAGGCTTGAGGGATTGAATGGCCTACTCCTATTCCTGTGTTTCTATTTATTGCTCATTCCTAATGACCCTTGAGAGAAATGTTCAAGAAGGTACTCACTACATCTGCATTCCACAAGTACACCCACAGTGCTGCTTAGGAGAGAGTTCCAAGATTTTGTTGTAGCAGCTGTGAAGGAATACCAGTTTAGTCCACGAGTGCCCCAGATGTTAGTAAGAAGGACTTTGCTGGTTTGACAAGATTAGGTTTGTTGTTAGCATTTCCTGTGCTTGGTTGGTGCCAGGTGGCTTTTTTATTTCTTCATGGGATGCGGACATCACTAGCTGCGCCAGTATTTTATTGCCCATCTGTAGTCAACCACATTGCTGAGGGTGTGGAATCACATGTAGGTCAGATCAGCTAAGGACAGCAGATTTCCTTCCCAATGGCCATGAGTGAACCAGATAGAATTTTCCTGGATTCACACCCAGCTCCCCAGAATATTACCTGGGTCACTGGATTAATAGTCTAGCAATAATACCACTGAGCCATCATCTGCCTAGAGTCAGCTCAGCCTTCCTGCTCCTGTGATGCTGCTTGGCCTGCTGTGTTCATCCAGCTCTACACCTTGTTATCTCTAAACTAGTCCCAACTGCCTGCTCTTGCCCCATATCCCTCCAAACCTTTCCTATTCATGTAATAATCCAGATATCTTTTAAACATTGTAATTGTACCCACATTCACCACTTCCTGAGGAAGTTGATTCCACATGCAAATCACCCTCTACTTAAAAAAAATTTGCCCCTCAGGTCTTTCTTAAATCTCTCTCCTTTCACCTTAAAAGTATGTCCCCTAGTCTTGAAGTCCCTCATTCTAGGGAAACAACAACTACCATTAATTCATGTATACCTCATGGTCTTATAAACTTCTATAAGGTCGCCTCTCAACCTCCTACATTCCAGTGGAAAAAGTCCCAGCCTTTCTTTATAAACTCAAACCTTCCATACCCAGCAACATCCTGGTAAATTTCTTCTGAATCCTCTCCAGCTTAATGGTATCCTTCCTGTAACTGGGCGACCAGAACTTGACACCATATTCTAGAAGAGGCCTCACCAATGTCCTGTACAACCTCAACATGACTTCCTATCTGCTATACTCAAAAGACTGAGCAATGAAGGCAAGGGTGCCAAACGCCTTTTTAACCACCCTGTCCATATGCGACACAAGCTTCAAAGAATTATTTACCTGCACCCCCAAGGTCCCTCTGTTCTACAACACTACCCAAGACCCTGCCATTAATTGTATAAGCCCTCGCCTTCATTTTATTTCCTTCTCATGACACTTTTATATCGCTTTGTTTCAACTGGGTGGTTTGGGTTACTTCAGACAGCATATAAGAGTCAGTTGCATTGCTGTGGATCTGGAGTTGCGTCTAGACCAGGGCTGTGAGGGACAGATTTTCCTTACCTAACCAGATGGGTTTTTATGTCATTCAACTATGGTTTCATGTCACCCCATTAGACCAGATCTTTATTCCAGGTTTTATTAACTGAATTCAAATTTCACCAACTTCCATGTGGTCATTACTTCCAATCGTTGAACAGCTCCATGGGTTGCGTTTTACCTCTGAAAACTTGTCATGTTTACCATTATCAATGTCTGAACCTGGACTGAGTTTTGGCAAGCTTTTTGATTGAGTGACATCACAATGGAACTTGACCTGACCACTTCTGCTGAGATTCTGAATAGCAATCTGGTGTATGTACGCTGAAATTGTTTCTACTCCCTAACCTGCTGATACTTTGGCAAACTGCATTGAACAGAAGTTGAAAGGACGTCAGTGAATTCAGCTGTAGATCAGAGATTGAATCTGCAATGCTATTGGGTCTGTTATGGGTCACTTATCAGGATAAACTTGGTCCACCATGCTGTGGAAGGTGTCGAAGGTTTGAAAGAGTTTGTTTGAATCATCTCAACTGAGCAGACTTTACTGGTACAGGTATTGTTAAATTAACTTTTTCTGATGAATCTTCATATGCCTTTAGTAAGTTGTATTTGTGCAATTAAATGGCACTCTGCAGCTCTCTGAATATTTTTTGTTCCAAAGAGTTATTCTTGTGGTTTACTGCATTAACTATGTCTGATGCTGCTTGTGTTATTCACATATTTAAATATTTATGTTTATGTCTGCAATCTTTAATTTGCAACCGAATTAATACTTTAGGCTCAATTTTGAAGAAACTTCTGCACACTGGAAACTCTGTTAAGGTAAGCGCTTTAATGTATTTTGCTTGGTAAGGTTATGTAGCCTTTCGTCTTTGTGATTTTCCTCATTCTAATTAATGAGAACACAGAAAGATAAGTTAAGTACTAATTTCCTGGCCAGGTTCACAACCAACATCTCCGGTGTGAGTGATCTATGAATGATGCTTACCATAATTTGTATCTCTACTTCGTGAAGATGCTCTGGATGTTTGCTGGATGTATTCCAATATTGTAGCAACTGAAATATTTGTCTCAGCCATGAAAAATAGACATTAGAAATGAGTGCACAATGGTCTGATTAATTTGTAAATTTTATGACATTGTGTGCCATTTTTTCAAACAAATGTTTGTAAAGAAGTAATGTACTACTGGTATCCTGTTCATGTAATTTGTCTTTACAGATAGCAAACATTTTGCAGTCATTCACACTCAAATTAACCAATTATTAAATGTAATTGGAGTGAAAGATTATTGTTGTCCAAGTTTGAATGTTGATCTGTCTGGTGACTTTGCATGCTTAGTTGATAGATGAAGATGAATAGTACAATTCTACGTGTAATTTGGGTTTGAAATAGTTTTTCAACTTTTTTGTTTGAGAATAGATTTTCTTTGTTTTTCATAACAAGTGTAGCAATTATATAGGACCCTAATTAAAACAAAGGCCAAACAGAAAAAATATTTATGTTGATTTTTGATAACTTTGAATTAGTCACATTTTAATAGACAAAAAAACTTATAAATAGCTTTGCAATAGGTACAGAGCATAATGAATGACCTTAATGTAGGCCACACAACATGATTCAGATTGCTTATGAAGTATCAAAATTAAACTTAAATAATTATACTTGTCCAGTAAAACGAAGAATTGCAGTCTTTCTTATAACCTGTAATAAAACCGAAAAGAATTCCAGGAGAAAATTCATTCAGAACATGATTGGAGTATGAATTATGCTGCTAAAAGGAGCTGTTGAAGTGCATAGGATGATTGAATTTAAGGTAGGTAGATGAATAAAGGGAGTGAAGGATATATTGATAGAGTTAAATGAAGTGAAGTGAGGGAAGGATCATGGGAGCATGAGTACCATTTGGGCAAACCAACATATTTGTATGTACTGTACTTAAATGAAGTAGTTATACGCTTGTTAACAATGTAATTATTGTTGAATTTGTTTTATTATCGTGGTTTTTTTTTTCTTCCCCAAAGTTTTGGATGATCCAAGAATCCATTCAGTTTGGTATTGCTGTATTTCCACTGCTGAAATGTTCAATCCTAATTCCTTCAGCTCATTTCAAATCTGTGATAACATTATGGGCTAGATGCAGAGAAGGGAAATGTACATTAAGCAGTAGAGGTTTGGTTGGAAATTTGGGGATCAGAATTGATGTCTGCGTCACACCTTATAAAGGCACAGAACAACTCGTAGAAAAGTGCTGGTTGAAACATGCAAAATGTATTCTTTAATGCAAGTTGATACAGAAGTAGGAATGTTGGTTGATGAACCTTTAATTATGTTGACCGTCATCTTACACAATGGTTGTGGCCTTCTGATTACACTGCAGGTAGGTCTCATAACATACAAGATTCCTTTAGTCTTCGGATGTGATGAAGCCTGGCGAAATTGCCATTATTGTATGAGTAATTGCTCAGGAAAGCTAATAACACTATGCTTGTGAACAATGCTTGCCCCATTGCAAAGTTCATAAATAAAGTGTTCACACCAGTGTACCAGTAGAGTTTGACAGCTATTTTCTGGAATGACTATTTGGTCATTACAAAAAATTGCTTTTGGGCGACAATGTTCTGTGACCCATCCTGTTCGATCTGAGGCAGTTTTCTCTAGCAAAACTGAAATCGGTGGGAACCAAGGGAAAACTTAAAATTGGTTGGAGTCGTACCTGGCACAAAGGAAGATGGCTGTAATTGTTGGAGCTCACTCATCTCCGTTCCAGGACGTGGCAAGAGTTCCTGAGGGTAGTGACCTAGACACGATCACGTCAACTGTTCTGTCAATGACCTTCCCTCCATTTAGAGGATAAAAGAATAGGCTGATGTTTGCTGATTGTCTGGTGTTCAGCACCATTTGTGACTCCTCAGATGTCGAAGCATTGTGTTCACATCCAGATAGACCAGGGGCTTGAAGTGATAAATGATGAGTAATATTAGTGCTATGTTAGTGCCAGACAGTGTCCTTCTAATTTTCTTTCTGGCAGCACAGATCTCCAAGCCCCTTGCACGGTGGCAACCTATAGAAACAGATGTCAGCGCTGTGATTGATATGCCAATGCTGATCATGATGCACGTAACCTTGGAGCAGCTCCGCACATGCGCACAGCTTAGAGGGAATTTTGGTGCCAGACACTGACTATCTCAAACGAGAGAATCTAACCATTTCCCCTTAACATATGATGATGATATCATCAATGCCATAAATATCCTGGGGTTTACCACTGACAAGAAACTGAACCGGACCAGTATACAAATACTGCTGTTAAGTAACAGGTTAGGGCAGGGAATTTAATGGTGACTAACTCACCTGCTGACACCAACTGAAACTCCCCACCTGCGTGGATGAGTACAGTTCCAACATCGCTCAAAGCTCAACACCATCCAGGACAAAGCAGCCTTCCTGAAGGGTACCCCATCCACCACCTTGAACATTCATTCTCTCCACCAGTAATATATGGTGTGTACCGTCTACAAATTGCACCTCAGCAACTCATCAAAGCACTTCTTCCGAAGCACCTTCTTAACTATTGGCGTTTACCACCTAAAAGGACCAGGGCAACAGAATACATGGGAATATACCACCTGCAAGTTGCCCTCCTAGCCACATACCATACTGACTTGGAACTGTATTAGTCTTCCTTCATTTTTGTAGGTTCAAAACCCTGGAACTCAGTAGGTTTACCTACATATGACGACAGTAGCAGTTCAAGAAGATGGCTTTCTTAAGGTCACTTGAAGATGGGTAATGAATGCTGACTTCGTCTGCGATGCCCATATCCTGTGAATGAATGAATAAAAAATACATTTACTGTGTACTCATTCCATGTAACCAATTTAAATATTGAAAATGAGATTGTCTTGCCTTGTCCAATATCCACATCCTTGAGCCGCTACTGTATATTTTAATGTTTTTCAGAATTGCCCTCGTCAGTTTCAAACTTCCTGAAATGTCCCAAAAAACAGCCTACTTAATATAGGTTTAGTGTTTGGCATACATGGTACCGGCAAATAGCCTTATTTTCTCAAGCAGGTTGTCTAGAATAAAAAGCTGCTGGTGTGACTGGTAGGAACTATATTCATTAATATAACTGGTACTTGAGAGCAATTACCCAGTGCACTATGGAGAAGAAAGGCATTTTTGTTAAAATTAACTGTTGTATTAAATCACTAATGCAAATGTTAGTCTGGGTAAGTATGTACTGTATAAATGATATTGGACACTACTATTGGATATGCATCCATTTATAGCTGAAATTCTTTTAACTATTGGTATACACCAGGGCTGTAACTTGTACTTGATTATAACCATTAGAATACTTGATACAATTTTGGTCAAATTTTGTAATTTTTTTTTTCCTTAGATAAGAAGTGAAGGAATTCGACTCTACTTACTGTGGCTTCAAGCACTGCAAGAGAATTCTTCTGATGAGCAACTAACCTTATTTGCTTGTCTAGTTCCTGGTTTTCCAGCTGTTTCATCTCAAATTGGACCATGTACTTTAGATACGCTCATAAATCCCTCCTATAATTTATCTGATGGTTAGTAATCAAGCCTGATATAAGTGAGATGGAATTAGCATTTATAGTGGCATTTATCATTGCATCAAGTTAACTAGTAATACTGTTTCTAACCTTCCCCTTGGAACTTGTGCTGTTCAGTACAGACTGTGTTGAATAAAAATATTTAGAGACTGTGGTCCAGAAGTTCCATTTATTTGCATGGCATACTTTGCCCAAAATCATTGTAACCAGTTTTGAAGAAAACTAGGTTCCCTAAGTTTCTGTGCTAGTTTTTATTTAAAAAAAAAAGTGAGGAAACTTGGCTGACCCACAGCATGCTCTCAAACTCGCCAGTCACCATTGGGTCTTTTAAATTTAATTTCTTTATGGGGCTTTGAGGAGAATCGAGAAGCTAAACTGGTTATTTTGGACACAAGCCCACTAATAGGAATGTTTTAAGAGCTTTTGAGTATGCTTTTATGTTTACTAAGGAATGAGGGAATTATTCTATATAATCTCTAAATGTCATTTTTCCATAAGTTAGGTGGGGCAGTCACACGGATTTAGAAATAGTAATTTTTTGTTTGTTGAATCATTGATCAGCTGCGTTTGTCAAATTGCAGAGTTATTATTGAAGTACATCATGGAATATGTTTTGACACCAAATTACACCGGTTCGTGACCGACTTTTGTGTTTAGCAATATTTGGAACACACAGATATGATACTAAAAATAGTGATGCAGTTTAATAAGACCATTTTTAAACAAAAATCAAACGAAGCAGTTGCTTTTGTTTCCAGTGCATTAGAGTTGAAAAGCAGAGAAATTATGCTAAGCTTGTATTGAGCATTGATTAGATCAAGCTTTAAGGACTGTGCACAGTTCTGGTTGGGGTATTATACAAGAGGGCATAGCTGTGTCCAAAATAGATGAAATGCCAGGCTATGCCCATCAGGATCAGATGAACCTCTTTGGGTCACTTTGCTCATTGCGTTTCTAATTTGTGTACAATATGAAAAAAGTGGGAGTAAGTTTTTTTTTTTCTTGAAAGTTTTTGGCGTTTTAATTTTATTGATTTAATTAACACAAAATCAAAGAGTGATTAATATTTTACCCATTTTCTGCTTAGTAAAAATTGCTGCAGAAGATATTACTCCTCTGCTACCATCAGTATTGGGAGAAAAGATATCAGATGACCAGACTTTGTACTTCCTTCAAATACTTCTAAAGTACATGGTAATTCAGGTAAATCCAGAATCTTAATGTGTAAAAGGTCAAATTGAGAGTGCATGATTTATCATGGGTATAAATTCATTTATATCCTATATGAGTAGTTGAATGCTAATGGAGAACATATAACTAATTATAAAGTTTTTGCGTTTATTGGATTTGCAACCATGACTCTGTTGGTAGCTTTCTCAACCAAATGAAAAGTAATGGCTTCACATCTTACCCCTGTGAGCTGAACAAAAAGCCAGGCTAAAATTCAGATGCAGTGCTGAGAGAGTTTGTATACTGCTGGAGGTGCTGAGTTTTGGATGAGACATTCCGCTAAGGACTCGTTTTGTCAGGTGAATGTGAAAGATGCCATGACACTGTTTCGAAGGAGGACAGGGGAATTGACCTCTATGTTGTGTCTCAATCAGCATCACTAAACAGATTATATTGTCATTATTGTATTGCTGTTTGTGGGAGCTAGCTGTATGGAAATTGACTACCATGCTTCGTACCTTTTATAGCAGTGACTATGGGCCGTATTATAAGATGAGGGCAGGTTCCTTGCAACTGCGTGAATGTCGAGCACAGGCATACCTCCACTTTGGCTTGCCCTGATTTGATTTTTTAAATGCCAGCACTTCAGTTAACATGAGACAGGTCTTCCACTGCACTCCATGATGAATCTAAGCTCATAAAGGTGCCTGCCAGTCAGGTCAGCTGTTTGCTCCAATCCAGGATGGTGACCACTCCATATGGAGGGACTGTTATGAGGAGAGGTTAAGTAGATTGGGACTGCACTTGTAGGAGTATAAATGAAGGAGGGTTGACCTTTGTGAAGCATTAAAGATTCTTCAGGGGCTTGACAAGCAGATGGGAAAAGGTTGTTTCCCCTTGTGAGAGTGTGTGGGACCAGAGGACATAATCTCAGAATAAGAGATTGCACATTCAAGGCAGAGATGAAAAGGAGTTTCTTTTCTCAGACGGTTGTACATATGTGGAATTCTTTACCATTCTTTAGATGGCTGTTGAGACTGAGTTCTTGAATGTACTCGAGGCTGTGGTAGACATTCTTTTTTAATTGGTAAGGGAATCCAAGATTATGGAGAAAAGAGCAGCAAGTTAGGGTTGAGGATTATCAGATCAGCCATGATTTCATTGAATGATGGAACAGATTGTGGGCTGAATGCCTTCTATGCAGTTTGTCTTCTGGATTTAGGGGGCACAGAAGGAAGATATACCATAATTGCCTTGAAATTGCGATAAATCCAGGATCTTGCGAAGGCTGGGTTGACACTCCCTGGGGTGGAGGTACAGACATATTCGGCAGGATGGTGGAAAGTTTGATGCAAGTGGCAAAACTGGTGAAAGGGATCTGTGATTAGCATGGGATGAGGTGAGGGGCCAGGAAGGAGCACAGACCCTCCTCGATCACCATTCTTTCACTGACTGGCAGCTTGCAATGTTAAACCTGATGAGCTATGCATTGTGCATGCTTACGGGCCTTTATTTAATGACAGGTAATCCATAAAATTCAGTCCCATATTTAAAAAGTTGGGTTATGAAGTGCTTTGAACATCTTGAGGTTGTAGAAGTGCTATATAAATGCAAAATGTTTTTCTTTTAAATATATTTGTTTTTCTTTTTCATGAGGTGCAGGTGTCCCTGGCAAGATGCCAATTTTGAATCGACAGTTTGTGTATTATGTAGACGAGCCATATTGATCGATTCTTTCCGTAAAGAACTTCCGTGAACCCAATTATTTTTACGACAATTGGTCACCATTACTGAGACTAGCTTCATGTTCTCAATTTATTACTTGATTTTAAATTCCACATGCTGCTGTGGTGCGATTGAACCTATGTTCACATAACATGAGCTTGAGCCTTTTGAATACCAGTCAATGGCATATACTCAATCAATGACTTCTCCAAATTGTAAAAGTGTAATTTATTTTGTACATCTGCTGTTTCAGGAAATGTGTTGCTGAGAGAATTGTAAAATGTAATAGCCCACTATTCTCTCTTCTGCCCTTCAAAGTGCTGGTTCCTAGTGGAAAACAATTTAATAGAAAGTGACATTGTAGCATCTCATAAATGGAATTTTTATGCAAAAAGCTAATGGAGAATGTTTGACTGTTTGTCTTTGCCTATCTAATGTCCATGCACAAGCACTTTCCAGCAAAAGGTACTGATTAACAATCAGAGCTGGAACATTTTTTTCTTGCTTTCTTATCCTGAGGATATAACACATTTTATTAAGTGTACTTCAAGTCCTCAGGTGTTCAAAATGTGTTTTGTAATCAGTTTATTTATGATTTATAATAACTGTCATGAATAGGCAAATACAACGCCGCTTTTCAAATAGCAAGGTCCCACAAATAGTAAATGAGCCAAATGACTAGTTACCCTGCTTTGCTTTGAGGTGGATGCAGATCAAGGTATTGTCTGACACAAGAATAGAGCTCCCTAATCTGCTTTGAATAATCCCACTAGACCATTCATCTCTTATCTAATTTTAAATAATCTCTCGAAACAAAATGCCATCTTCTCTGTTAGCTGCTGTTGTACAGTGGCAGTGAATGAACTGTCATAACATTAATTTACAGGAATATGTATGAGAATGTACTTCTTACAAAATAGTTGTAATATTGTAGGGATTGGGAACATAGCACATTTAATCCATATTTGTGTGTTATGTATTGTAAATGTAGGGATGCTTTTCTTTGTTGCACACCTTTTCTCTCAAAATATGTTCAATCAGTAAAATAGAACATACATTATTCATTTATCAATATCTTGACACATACTGCCTTTCATTTCTCACTGTATGATATGAATGTTGGAGTTGTCTAGGGGCTGAGAACAAGATAGGGAGAAGCTTTCACATCTCCCGCTCAGGAGCTCTCTGCTCACTGCAGTAAAAGCCTGAAGAAAATCAGTTTAATTTTCCTCTAGCAGTTGTTGTCAGCTTTAAATTCTAATTAACATGTCAGGGACCTTTCTGTAAACATGAACTGGTCCAGTCTCTCTCACTGCACCTGATAAAGGGACTGCGCTCCAAAACTTGTGATTTCAAATAAACCTGTTGGACAATAACCTGGTGTTGTGTGACTTCAAACTAATCCACTCCAGTGTTGGAGCATTTTCATGTCCCAAAATCTCAGACAGATGTGGTGCATTGTCATTGGCAATATGGTTGTTTACGTATGCTTTGTTGACTAGTAGTGGTACACAGGGCTTTTGGTAAGTTGATAGCTGTTTTTTTTTGTTTAAATTGTTTAAATGGCTCCCTTTTGAAAGGATACTACAAGGGTAAGCTAGAAGTTCTTTCCTGGATGAGTGTGAACATTTGTAGCTGTGATGAACTTCTAAGGTTCATTTATATGACATTCCCTTGACAATGATCTAGTTGCTTGAATGCATGTTATTTATAAGCATATGAATTGATTTTCTCCCAAATCACTGAGGTGAAGGACAATGACTCCTGGTAGGCGCACACCCACTGAAGTTAGAGGTTACTCACCTGTTGATTTTCAAAGCTAGTATCTCCACAGTTTTGTGCTTTATTGTATGTTCATTTTAGATTGTGATACATATCGCTGAAAGCAATAAAAATTGTAACAGAAGGAAAAGTGTTGCGTAAAGATATCAGTATGTTTGAACATTTTACATGCATGGTTGGGTTGTTACAAAACTGATTAAGTTTCAGTAGTATATCAATCAACCATGTCCATTTTTGTTATTCAAGGAAATGAGCTTCACCTGGGCCAGCATTTATTGCCCATTGCCAGAGTCAGAGTCACACAGCATGGAATCAGACCTTTCAGTCTACCAGTCCATGCTGAACATAATCCCAAACTACACTAGTCCCACCTGCCTGCTCTTGGCCCATTCCCCTCCAAACCTTTACTATTCACGTACTTATCAAAATGTCTTTTAAATGTTGTAACTGAACCCACATCCACCACTTCCTCTGGAAGTTCATTCCACATATAAACTATCCTCAGTGTAAAAAAAAAAAAAAAAAAAAAAAAAAAAAATTGCCCTCGGGTCTTTTTTAGATCTCCTCTCACTTTAAAAAATGTGACCCCTATTCTTGAAATCCCCCATCCTAGGGAAAAGATACCTGCCATTAATCCTATTCAAACCCATCATGATTTTTTTAAACCTCTAGTTGATCTTCAGAAGGTTGTGGCGAGTTGAATTAGATGTGCTGAATGGAAGTTAAGTTTCTTCTTGGAAGATGAATATGAGAGGATGACCGTGGAATTTTTTTAGAATTTTTGTGACAGGTTGTCATAACTGGTTAGCAAATTCCTGTGCTAAGGATCTAAAAAGGGAGAAAAGACAAATTCGGAGAATGAATAAATGTTTTGTGTTTAAATATACATTTCACAAATATTATTTGGAATATTTATTAAATTTTTTAATTGCCTAGTATTATTGAACTAATGTTTTGTTTCAATTTTGAAGGCTGCAAGTTTAGAATGGAAAAATAAAGATAAACAAGAAAGTGGCTTCAAGTTTCTTTTTGCCTTGTTTAAGAAGTTCTATCTTTCTCATTTATTTCCATCCTTCACAAAATTTACCAACCTTTACAATCCTGTACTTGGTGAGTAAAACATTGTGCTAAAAACTTAATAATTTTATTCAACTTTTCTTCTTTATGCATAAAGAAATGCAGGATTTAATCTGATACTAACCTTGTAAAGCAATAAATGCCATCAACTTCGATGACTAAACGTTAGTAGTAGACTTTGTCTTTATCTTTTGATTTGAGTCCAATTACCTTTTGATGCCGAGTCTTGGAAATGCTGTATTAGCTTCTGTTGCTTATTTTGTTAGGGGCAAACATCATTATGTAGTGTAATGTGATTGGAGATAATCAGAGTGCCCGCAGAGAGAGCTTTTACTGATTGACACTGACTTTTCTCCAGTTAAATGTTGGAAAGATTGAACCTAGCATTTTTGGTGCCCACTACATATGCAGTTTCTACCACATCATCCATTCTTGTTGCTAGCAACTTCTTGAGATAAAACAGATGGTTAGCAAATGTGGTGTCATATTTGATGCAGAGATGAGCTTCACACCACATCTGCATTCAATATGACTGCTTATTTCAACTTGCAACTTCACTTGGTTCATGTCTTAATTGTCCTTCTAAATTCTCTATCCTTGATAAACTTAAGGCTATCGGCTCCTATGCTATGTCACACCTATCCTGTTCACCCATCACGACTTTACTCATTGACTCCTCATTCAACAATAGATCAGTTTCAAAATTCTGTTTTTTTTTGTTTTCAAATACTTTCATGGCCTCACCCTGTCCTATCACTATAATTTCCTTAAATCCTTCAACCCTCTAAGATGCCTGCCTTCCTCCTATTCTGTCCCCTTAAGCACCTGAAATTTTGATTGTTGTACTTTTTGGCTATTGTGTACATGTTGCTAGTTGCTGACCTCTGGAATTTCCTACCTTAATGGCAAACTGTTGCAATGCACTTCCTCTTTTTCATCCTTCTAAAACAGCTTGCTGAAGTTGTTTATGTCTATCTTAACATCTCTCTTTGATTCAATTTCAAATTTTGACTGAGAATGCTCATTTGAAATATCTTTTACATTTTACAATGTTATGAGATGCTATAAGTAAAAAGTACTGTTGGAATAGTTTAAATTTATTGTGGAGACTGAACTTGATTTTAGAACCATAGTATAATTTTAAAACATTAGGACAGATAAAGAAAACTAGAATGCTTACAACTCCAGAGTTGAAAATTGTCAGGAAAAACCGGTTCCATGTTTTCTTATATAAGTAAAATATGTACAGAAAGTATAATGAGATGCTGGAAATATATTTGTGTGAGATTTTCCGAACCCTAAATCTCTCATCATTTATACCATTTTGATCTTTTTCTTTTCAAATGAATTGCAAATGTTGTTTAAGAATATGGTCTCAAACTAAGAAGTTTTTGATCTCTGCTCAGGCTGTCTGGAGGGTTTCTTAAAAAAAAAGGAAATAAATGGCTTTCATTCAGAGGGACGCTTGGCGGACAATTAAAGAATACTCAATTTTAAAGTGACTTTAGCAAAGTTTAAAAGAAGCAACTCGCTGCATTTTTTTTTCTTGCGGATTGTATTTGACGTGGGGCTCCATGTATATGAGGCAAAAGTGAGAAAAAAATTTTCATTTAAATGTGAGCTTTTCATCCATGTGTTAGGAAATACTGAGTCTCAAAATTCCATGTAGATTACACTACTGTGTCAACATGAAGGTGAGAGATTTTTATTATTGTGTAGAAAAACTTAGCCAGTTGGGTTTATGCATGAAAATTCAAAGGAAGGTTTATCAGAAGTGAGTATGCATGCTTTGCCATTTTTCTCCCATATATTTCAGTAATAGTTTCAGGTTTCAAATATGTGTGAAACTTACTCCGCTCTGTTGTACTGCCACTAACAATGTCAAGTAAATTAAGAAAACAAAATCACATTAGGATCCATTGTAGTAAATAACAAAATGGTGAACTTATGCAGGTGTAATATTGCAAGATTTTTATTCCAGTTTGATCATAAAATGGTTGATTCTAAGTATTATATAATGACTGATTTTGGTTGTTCAAATTTGCTGCAGGTTAAATCTTTGTTATAAATAGTGACAGTAATTGTTGACTGGTTGTAAAACAGAAATTTTTGTGGAAACTGTTATGGATCAGACCAAACTCCGTCAAAATATATTAAGATGGTAGTCTAGATGCTAATTTTTCCTTATTTTACAGGTAAGTTTAAGGCGTTGTGTTTCAGATGCAATTCAGTTGATCAAACTACCAGGTTTGAAACAAAGCACACTTTATGCATACACTGTAATAAATATAGATACAAAGTAAAAGACAAAAATTAGCTTAACTGTAACTCTATGGAAATGCTTAACAAAGTAATATAAGTATGTAAACTAGTAATAATTAACTGCTCCAATATAGTAACATCCTATAAACACACCCTTGCCAACGAATTCAATAAAATAGATTGTCTTGCGTGCAGTTCTAGCAGCAGGAAGAGAACTCCAGCTGTGACAGAGAGGAATAAGAGCTTTCACATCTAGCTACTGAAGACTAAAACTTTAAATAAAAAAAAAAAAAAAAAAAAAAAAAAAATCCTGGTTCTGCGGGAGTTTAACCCCACCCGTTCAGGTGCTTCTATTGTTCCAACTTAAAAAAAACAAGGCCTTCAAGCTGTTTATTGCCTATAGAGCAGACTGCTTTCCACCTCTGTCTCAAATTTTCTTTTTTAAAAAAATGGCAAAATACACTTACAGCCATAGTATCATCACAAAACAAACATGGTTCAAATAGTGAGTTGTCTCAACAACTTGTAGAACATTATTGTTGCATTGAAACTTAGAAATTCCTCGTTTTGATTTTAGCACTTTAAACTTGATAAAGATGGAAGGCCCAGAAGTATGATGCTTTTTATTTATCTTTAACCAGAAATTCCTCAGATGAGGCCAAAGCCACTATATATCAATGTAACACGAAACAATGAAAGCGTTTACAGTACAAGGGACCAGTATTTGGCAGCTCGGGTGGCATTTATTAAGTGGCTTGTGACCTTCTTTCTGGAAAAGAAGTACACTGCCACAAATCAAAACACTAAGAATGGTGGAGAGATGCTACCTAAAATTATCCAGGTACGTTTGGATATTTTGATAACTTAAAAATATGGCAACGTTTTATGTACTAAAATTCCAGTTGTAAATAGTAAACTGCTACTGCTTGGTTGCTTTGAGCACTGTACATGTTGAACGAAGTGTAGAGATGTGACTTTGCTTCCACAATCCTGTGAAGACCCAGTTGGTGGACATTTAAAATTATCCAGCCAATATCCTGACCCAGTCCTACTGTGTTCTGTTTTAATCTGATCTATGGATAAGGTGATATAGATGTCTGAGTGAAGTTGGTAAGGTTCTTCCTTAATTATCAAAGAGCCAGTAATAAGATTAATTTTACTTTGCTTATGTAACCAGAATTAACAGAATTACTACTCCCATGTTCTCCCTTGACTCGTGGCATCCGCCTTACCAAATTTGAGACTTTCTAACTACTTGAAATGAACGACCAAGTGAATGAAAGTTTTGGCATATGAATTTTGCTATAAAATTTGATCTTCAAATAATGTTTAAAGAGCTGTTAGTTTGATGCAAATGTAATATTTTCTTGTTTCCTAAATATGTATAAATTTTTTAACAATGAGTTACTCGGGGAAACAATTCCTGAAATCAGATTTGCTAGAATTTGTGACTTTTACATTTCATTTACAATAATCAGTGCCGGAAATGAATCTGACAAACATTTAAGACAGCAAAAATTCACGATTATCAGTTTGAGCACAGCTACAGAAAGAAATACAGTTTCTTTTTCTAGGAGCACCCATCTTTACAAAATTATATTTGCTCCTGGATCCTAGGCACTGTTCACTACTAAGCATCTCTGACAGCAAATGATTTTGCGCTACATTGAGAATTTTGGCTTTGTTCGGACATTAAATAAAGAATAATCTATTTAGGTGGCATTCTATAAAACACAATTAATGTTGGTTGCTTTGTGAATGGTTAAAATGTATTTAGCAGGGGATCATGTTCATAGTCTAATGTGAAGTTTCATTCGTGCTTGAGCTTTCCTTTTGAGAATGAGCTTCGTTATCTGTCTTCTGCCTGAGACGGAGTTTTAAAATGCTGGACTGTCATCTCCCTGTTCCATTCAAAATACTTCATATAAATGTAAATAGCATTGACAGTGCATTGGTGTGATATCAATAGTTAGCAGGACAGGAATTTCTATTTGAGGTGAAGAGATATATTTTCTTAAATTTCTGTTTTTTTTTAACCATTTCTTCTTGGCTAAGCAGTCAGTGACTGCAAACCCATCAACTCAGGAGAAAGCCATTGAATTGGAAGCAAGTGGGACCACTGAACAGGATCGATCTCATTCCAACAGCAGCACTCTATCTGAAAGAAGACTCAGCACCTCCAGCTTCTGCAGCATTGAAGAAGAACATCAGCCAGTCTATGAGATGGTTCAGAGAGTCCTCTTTTCTTCTCAAGCTAATGTGAATTTTATCAATGAAGTGTTTCACCAGGTTAGTGCACGATAAAAAAGCAATTCTGATTTATTGTGCTTTATGCCTTCTATACAACATACAAACTCCTGAACTAAAATTGTAAAGTTTTACTCTATGATTAAGACTATCTTCTCAAAGCCATCATTACTTCGTTTGCAAAGCGTTAGATGTTGTGAAGGATGGAAATTCAGAGTGCCACAACCTTCTTGGCAATGGTGTTTTTGATATATTTCAATAGCCCAGTAAATTTTTCTGTTACATGTTTCAATAAAGGCGAGTCATAGGATCATACAACATTGAAACAGACCCTTTGGTCCAACCAGTCCATGCCAACCCATTATCCCAAACTCAACTAGTCCCAACCGCCTGTGCTTGGCCCATATCCCTCCGAACATTTATTATTCATGTACTTATCCAAATGTATTTTAAATGTTGTAACTGTACCTGCATCCACCGCTTCCTCTGGCGGTTCTTTCTACACTCAAACCAGTGTGTTTGAAAAAAAATGTTGCCTCTTATGTCTGTCTGAAATCTTTCTCATTTCACCTTAAAGATATGACTCCTAATCTTGAAATCTCCCAATCTCAGGAAAAAGACACCTGCCATTTATCTTATCTATACCCCTCATGATTTTTATAAACCTCCTTAGGACTTCTCAGACTTAGAGCAAATGGTAAGGTCCTGAGGACTGTTTTGGAGCAGAGGGACCTAGGAGTACAAGTACATAGTTTGTTGAAAGTGGCAGCACTGGTAGACAGGATGGTGAAGAAGGCATTTGCAATCGGTCGAGCATTGTGTATAGGAGTTGGGATGTTACGTTACAGTTGTATAAGTCATTGGTGAGGCCGTACTTGGAGTATCATGTATAGTTTTGGTCATCTGTTATAGAAAGACATAGTTGAACTGGAAAGTGTGCAAAGAGGATTTATGAGGATGTTGCCAGGACTAGTAGGCATGAGTTATAGGGAGAGGTTGGCCAGGATAGGACTTTACTCCTCGGAATGTAGGAGAATGAGGTGTCTAAAATCGTGAGGGGCATAGATAGGATGAATGCATATTGTCTTTTTCCCCGGGGATGGGGAATTGAAAACTAGAGGGCATAGATTCAAGGGGAAAGATTTAAGAAGAACCTGAGGGGGAACTTCTTCATGCAGAGAGTGGTGTGTATATGGATTGGGCTGACAGAGAAAGTGGTTGAGGCAGACACTAGCAACGTTTTTAAAAAAAGACATTTGGATAGGTACATGGATGGGAAGGGTTTAGAGGGATATGGACCAAACGCGGGCAATTGGACCTAGCTGAGTGGGTACCATGGTCAGTATGGACCAGTTTGGGTCGAAGGGCCTGTTTCCATGCTGTGTCACTGACTCTGACTCCTCAGCTCCACTGGGGGGGGGAAAACATCCCAGCCTATCCAACCTGTCCTTGTAATTCAAACCCTCCATTCCCGGTAACATTCTGGTAAATCTTCTCAGAACCCTCTCTCGCTTAATAACATCCATCCTATAACAGGACGACAAGGACTGTACACAGTACTCCGAAAGGGCCTCACCAACGTCCCATTCAACCTTAACCTGACGCCCAAGTTCCCACACTCGGAGGTCTGAGCAATGAAGGCAAGTGTGCTATATGCCTTCTTAACCACCCTGTCTATATGTGAGACAAACTTCAAAGAATTATGTACCTGAACCCCTCGGTGTCTCTGTTCTGCAGCACTACCCAAGGCTCTACTATTAATTATATAAGTTCTCCTTCTGTTCGTTTCACCAAATGCAATACCTTACATTTATTCAAATTAAACTCCATCTGCCACTCCTTAGCCCATTACATCAATTGATCAAGATCCCTTTGTAATCTTAGGTATCCTTCTTTACTGTCCAGTATACCACCAATCGTGGTGTCATCCGCAAACTTACTAACCATACCTTCTATATTTTCATCTAAATCATTTATATAAATGACAAACAAAAGTGGATCCAGCACTGGTGTTAAAAGTAGATTGTGACAAACTGGCACTTATTCTTGACTAACCAAGATTAGATGACGCAGTGATTGTATAGAAAATGTTTTTTTTTCATCATACTGCAGTGCAACTTGACTTCCTTTTCTTGAAGAGCTAAATAGTTATTTTTAAAATTCAAGACATGGAAGTGAAACATTTTATCCAGGCATGAAATCTAATAACAAAGTGAACCCGCAAGGCATTGATATCTAATTTTTGCCATTTTCTTCATATATGATGTCACAGTGAGATCTCATGACATATCACTGATCATTTAATTCATTAAAATAAATTGACTGCCTTCACTTAAAAGTTGTTTCAAACAAAAACGCTGCTATTAAGTATTCATTTAATGACTCCTTATTTGTGAATAAAGAAAACTTGAAAAAAATGTAAGGTGCCATTCACAACCTAAGGGTGTGACAAAGTCATTTCCAGCCAATGAAGGACTTAATGAAGTGTGATTACTTTTAGAAAGTAGGAAGCACACAGCACCCAATTTAGAGTCAGGTTCAATAAACATCAAAATGATACTTTTTATTTATAAAACCCCTTGAATGGAATGAAATGGTCAAGGCACTTTCACAGGAGCATTTTGCACCTAAGGCATTAGTCTACATAAGGCGAAGTGAGATAGTTGAGCAAAATCTTGGCCAAGAGGTAGGTTTCATTGAGTGTCTTAAAAGAGGAGATCAAGATAGAGAGATCTTGGTGGGGTTGGGTGGTGGTGGTGGTCATGGAGGGGCTTGCTTTCCTGGGTTTGGGTATTCCAGGGGCCTATATAACTGGAGGCATCATCAGTTCAGATGTCTAAAGATGTCTTCGAGTTCTAAGGTTGGAGGAGGTTACAGAAGTAGGCAGGGTGAGGGAATGGATGGATTGGAATTTTAAAATCAAGAGCATAGTTGGCTGGGAGCCAATGCAGCAAGCACAGGGGTGATAGAGGAATGGGACTTGCTGCGAGTTGAGATATGGGCTGCTGCAATTTGAATGACTTCAAGTTACAAAGCTTCGAATGTGGGAGACTAGGCAGGAGTGTGTGGGATAGATGAATTTAAAGGTAACGAAAGCCTGAATGCAACTTTCAGTAGCAGATGAATTGAGGCAGGGAAGACGTTGGGCAGTGTTTATAGACATGAAAATGAGTAGTCTTAGTGATAACGCAAATGAGAGTTTGGAAGCTCATGTCTGGGTCAAATGTGACACCAAGGTTGTAAGCAAACTGGCTCATCTTCAGACTGCTGCCAGGTAAGAGGTTGGAGTCAGTTGCTAGAGAATGCAGTTTGGAGAACAATGCCTTAGTCTTTCAAACATGTAAACAGGAGTATCACATTCAGAGTTAAATGCCCTCAAGTGTTTACATTTGTTTTATAAACACCTATAATAGAGATTATAGGCACATCTGGAAATTTATAAACTGAGCTCCACTGCTATAGTTGAGCAGTTTGTAAAAGCAAGTTGAATTGACCAGTAACAAAGCTGTTGTAATTAAGTATTTGCAAAGACATGTATTTGGAGTTTCTTATGGAAAGGAGAGCATGAATTGGATTGAAATTGTAAAGGAGGGCATGAAGGCTTGTAGAAATTATTCTATTATGATCAGAATGGTGTCAACCTCCTATTAAATGAACATAGGTCAATAATTATGCTTAGTGTGGTAAGATTGCATTTGTATGGAAGCTTAGCTGCTCATGGATGAAAGTTTGGTTTGTATTTTGTGTTCAAGGGCGGGAAATTTAGATGCTTTGAAATAGAACATGAGGCATTCTCTGTCAGTGTCTGTATCAAATAAATTTGCATCATCTAATGAAGTAAATGCAAGTTGAAACTCCATCTCAATTCTTCAGGCATAGAAAATAACCCTTTATGAAAGCCTAACATCTCCATTTCTGACTACATTCTTTGCAAGGTAACATCTATTTCACATTCACGGTTGCCAAGTGGGTATTAAAAGATGGGATGTTGCATGGTACTGGAATCAAATTTTGACCACAGTATTTATGAGGGGTTTAGTGGTGCCATGTTCCCATTGCAAGTGTTTTGATAAACCAGTGGATTTTTAGAACAGTTGCATGCCTTTCATGATCATTTTTCTTTCTACTGGTACTCATTCACAAATTGATGTATTGGGTTCAATATATTGTATGATTTGGAAACGTGACCTTGCTAGTCCAGTATTGTACCACTAGCCAAACTTGCCCTAACCATGAGTGCGTAATATGAAAATATAATTATTTTATAAATACAATATATCTTGCTCAAAATGCATTGCAAATAAAATATTCATAATGTTTTGAAGTTTTAGTTCCGAATACTGATTGATTTCAATCAGCATAATAAATTATGCAGACTTCTGCATAAATATGATAAATAATGAAAGAGTTTTTTTCATGTCTGTAGCTCAACGCAGTTAGAGCCTAAATGAGTTAATTTATTTGTTTCGATATTATTTTTATCAAATTATTTGTTTGCTTTAATCTGTGGGCATAAAATGTTATTTTTTGTGACCATAGGACTGCTAGTTTGTAAATAACATTATGCTCACAGGCCAAAGTTGTACAGATTAAATAAAATCATTCAAGATTCGTTGGGTTTGTCACACAGGATACTGACTTTATTTTGATTTGACATTCTTTTCTAAAAGAAGAATAACTTGGCACAGAGAGGATTTGAGAAGCTTCAGAAATTTCACTTCTTGATAGCAGCTACTCTGTTTATATAGATCATAGTGTGTTGTGGTTTTCAGTAAATGCTTCTTGTGGGTTGAAGCCTATGAGAAATGAAAATATTCCAAGTTTGAGTTTCAAGATTGTCTTACACTTAGACTTACTGGTCCTTTGTTCAGTTAGAACATAGAGTAGTACAGCACAGTACAGGCCTTTCAGCCCATGATGTTGTGCCGACCTATTATCCCACTCGAAGCTCAAACTACCCTGCATACCCTACAGTTGGTTTTTCAATTTGCAGTGTGTTAGATGGAGTGTTGCAATTAAATAAATAACTTACTCTTTGGGTG